GCCCGGCCAGCGGTTTTACAGCAGCTGGCTGAAATGAGCCCTGAAATTGAGTTGAGGAGGAGGAGAGGACGGCGGCGTCACGCAGGATGAAGCTGCAGGGTTTAAATCTGCTTCCTGCCTCATCCAGCATCAACACTTTAAATATTTATCAGTGTAAATATCAGCTGCTGGAGAAGCAGCAGAGTTTAAGTTTAACCAGCTACATCAAAGATTTTTAAATGTTTACAAACGTTCGGCTTGGTTTTAAATAAATGGATGCATTAAATTAAATCTTATTTTATATTAATAATGTTTTCTGTTATAGTTTAGTTCATTTTGTTGTGTTCAGCATCTGATCCGAATCAAACCAACCTGTTCCCCTCCTGGCCTGTGGGGGCGCTGCACCAAGAACCACTGAAGGAAACACTCAGCACAACTACAACTTCCTTCTTCACCAAATGGAAACTAAAGTGGAGGCGTCAGATTTAAGCAGTAGTAGATTTTTTAGCCATTTCTTCGGCTAACGTTTACCCAGAATACCCTGCGCTGTAGTCTCTTCCTGCTCTGGGAAACCTCAGTCTGGGTTCGGTTCAAGTGAACTCTGGTTCGGTTTGACTCCATGTGAACGCCAAGCGGACCGAAGACCAGTCCAAAAGCAGGAGGTGGCGTACAGCGCAGGGCATTCTGGGTAAATACAACCAAAACAAACACGTTAGCTTAGCGCTAGCAGGAGAAATCCTCAAATGGATAAAATGGGACTCCACTCCGTTTCTGTCTGCTTGGTGAGAGAAGAACCACAGCAGAACAAATCCAGTAGTTTAGGCCCAAAACGAAGCGAATGTTCCGAACATCAGGTCGGAAAACAGCCTGAATCTTTTCTAGGTCCTTGAAAAGGCAAACATGTTCTGATTCTGTCGTCCTGAAGGTGACGGAGAGGAAACAATTACCAGCCCAAATTCTGCTGACAGTGACTCATTTCTCTGCGTCAGCAGATGAACCGGCGGCGTTTGTGCTCAGGCTGCAGCTCCAGGTTCATGTCTGCTGTAACAACATGTGGACTCTCTGTTCCCGCCGTGTGTTCAGAACCAGAACCAGAACTCCGTGTTCCTCCAGAGCAGCGCCGGTTCTGGTTGTCCGCTGCAGAAGCAATCTAAATGCAGAGCAGCTTTCGGCTGCAGAGCTGCGGTGTAATTTTCACCACTTATTCAGATTGTTTTCTGGCTCTCCCTCTTTGCTGTCCGACTCTATTATTTATCCGCGCCGTCTGTTTTCAAAAAGTGACGCTTTCCTGCTCAGTCGGCTGGAGTTTGGTGTTTTTCTGCAGCCGGGTCACCGATCAGGAACAAATCCGCCCTTCACACCCTGAAATCTCATCTGCAGCAGCGCAGAGGGGGCGTGCTGCCGCCTCCATCGCCTCCTTCCTCTCGCTCTTTAGCTGCAAAAACAAATTGTGAAATGTCGGTGTGAATTCGCCGAAGCTTTTATTGACATGTTCTCAGACGGACAAAAGCGTTTAAAGTCTCTGCAGACTGTCTTGATCTCTGACCGCGGGGATAAATTGGATTTTTCTCGGTTTCTCCTGGCGGGGAGCAGGAAGGAGCAGGTCATTGGATGGAGTCACTTTGGTTTAAAGATGCCTTCGCAGATTTCTGCTTCCATCCAGTCTTATCTGGAAATGTCGCACATTTAAATCTCCTTAAAGTGCATCGAGATGTTGGAGCGCTCAGCTCGATTTTTCTCTAATTTTTGCACGTCATGCTCTCCATATAAAGATGGTTGCTCTTTTAAAGTGCACTCGATAATGTGTTATGCTATCTGGACGTGTAGCATTTGGAAGCAGCTTCGCTCCTGAATGCTAAGCATCTCCGGCGGTCGATAGCAGAATCATTACAGCCTTTCTGAAACCGTCATAAAATGTTTCCACTTCTGATTTACACTCAGAGGCCAACTGGAAATGGATGGATGGTATTTTTAAAGCGACGGGTTGTGGGTGTCTTACCTGTTGAAAAAATTCCCATCATTTCTTAAAATACCTGCAGCTTGAATGCCTGAGTTTATGTGAAACCGTAGAAAACGGTTCATACGTCCCTGCCAACATGTTTCCTTTTTATGGATCATTTTTCTCTAAAACATTAAAGACCAAACACAGCTTTGGAAGCTAAAATAGCTAGCAGCAGAGCTAGCTTCCACGCTATTGGCTGGTGTTTGCAAAGCAGCCAATCCTGGAGCAGCGTTCACTTTCCTTGGTGCTGATTGGCTGTAAGGTAGATGTTAGCTTCTGCGTTAGCGCTAAAAGGATTTTCACTGTTTTATTCGGATCTATTTGTTGCTTGAGCCATTAAATTAGCGGTCATTCGTGTTTTGTGGACTTTAGCCGTTAGCAGGCTGGAGTTTGCATTAATTTAAGGTTTATAAAATGTTTTTAAGGCTCACATCATTCAGATGTTTAATAATCTTAACAGTTTTAAATATTTGGGCTTGGATGTCAGAGATTAGCAGATATTTAACAAAGTTGATCATAATCTGCATTTTGCCATGTATTTTATGTTTTTGAATGTTTTATTTTTGGTTTTTGTTTCTCTCATTTTCAACCATCTCAGCATCAGTAGAAACTACTGAGCAACATGTTTCCACTCCAATCCAGACATTTAATCTGACATTTGATTTGTATTTATTATGTTTTATGTAAGTGAAGTGTGTAAAATATGTTTCATTTTATTAAATTCAGTTTTTATTCCTGTTTGTAAAAATCAAACTCTCAAACTACAGACGAGTCAGCTAACGTTAAAATGTGTGAAGTGAAGTTAATGTGGGTCACAGCCAGGTCCTTTAGTTTCCTCCGTCGGATGCTTTGCTGCGTTTTCTTCTGTGATCTTCTTCACCTCTCTTCTTCCTCCTTCTCTTCCTTTTTGTCTCTTTCACGTCTTTTCGTTCCTTCTCTGCTCATCTCATCCGTCCTCTCTGCCTTTTTGTTGCTCCGTCTCCCTTGCTTGCGTCCCGCTCCCCCCCTTGTCGTCCTCCGTTCCCCCCATCGTCCCCCCCTGGACGAACCGTTAACAGAGGCCACACCCACTCAGTTCAGCCCCGCCCTCACGCCTCCTCTTCCTCCTTCTGGCTCCCCTTTGACTTACTCCTCCTCCTCTGATCCCCCACCAGTGTCCCCCAGCCCAGGCGTTGCCCTTCCCTCTGCCCCCCGCGACCTGGTCCCTGTCCTAGTGTCCAGCCGGTTCGTCCGGCTCAGCTGGCGCCCCCCGGAGGAGACCGGAGGAGGCGTGCAGACGTACGGCGTCTACTACTCCCAGGCCGGAGTCGACAGGTAAGACCAGACTTTGTGTTTGCTGTGACTCTGGGGGTTTTAGGCGATGTCGCAGAATTACAGCAGCCATCTTTGATTTCTACAACCTGCCTCATTTTGGCTCTTCATGTAGTAATCAATAAAATTATCATTAAAAATAAATCAAGAAGTAGCCTGGTGTCCACACATTCTTAAAAAGTCTTAAATTCCAACGAAAAGCGACATTGGCCTTAAATATGATAATCGTAAGTTTTACTGGCAGGACTATTCGATTTGGCGTATCTACTGTTAAAGCTAGCTAGCTAGCTAGCTTTTTATGTCCATTATTGGTGAATGTAAATTTATGGTCAGTTGTCTGACGACGTTTGTTTCATTCCAACTCTCACTCAAGCAGATTTGTTTTGTACATTTCTGCTGTTATAAAGGTCTTAAAAAGTCTTAGACTGGAGTTAAAGCCTGCAGAAACCCTGGCTAAGCAGAGAAAACCGTCTGTCTGCGAGCATTTCACCTGGTCCAATCAGCAAGCTTTGGGTTTATGGGCTGTTTTCCTTAAACGTTAGCAACATCCTTAGTCGCTAACATCGTCTTCACATTTAATTAAACCCAGCAGAAATGTTAGTAGATGTTCAAATAAGTATAAACAGGCCACACTTTTCAGATTTCTAATTACTTTTACTCCAATTGACATTTCTGCTCTAATTCCTGCTGATCTACCACAATAAGATCATGGAAAACTTTAACTTTACCAAGCAGTTAGGTCAGTTACCAGAACAAATATTTGAAATAAGACAAAACTAAACTCAGAAGTAACTTTTCACCAAGCAGCTTGTTTTAAGTCAGTAATTAGTTAATGTTGATGAAAAAGTTCCACTTATTTCACTTACAGGACATTTTTCCCTGAAGTGAAATAACCGGACAGTTATAATCCTTTTAGCATTAAGATGAAGGATTAAGATTAAGGATTAAGATGAAGGATTACTGACTAAAACGAGCAGAAATGTTAGTTTGTCTGAGAGCCAAAACTTCTTGGTGAGATTTTATGTTTTTACCTCATCAGAAGATTCAGGCCCAGAAAAGGAGGATAAACTCCCCATTAGTTACCTGTTGAACAGTGGAGATGGCAGATGATGGTCGGTTCTGAGGCGTCGGGTCGGAACCGGTTCCCCCAGAGAGCCGGTTCCGACCCGACGCCTCAGAACCGAC